CAGCAGTGTACTTCATCGATCTGCCTGTTCTGCTCCCCACTCTGTCTCTGGTGAATCCTCTCACCACCCCTGCACCTCTGGCCTATACCGCAGTTCTGTATGCACAAATAAATAAATCTTAAAAAAAAAATTTCATATCATGGGATCTGCTGATTATATTACCATCTCAGATCTAGATTTATTCATCTCATGTATTAGCTATTCATATCAACTTCACAGTATCAGCAGAAATGGTATCATCCCCATCCTTATTCCTGGTAAACTAATAAATCAAAAAGGATTGGCTTGAGACATCAGCCCATTAAGCAAAGCTCTTTGGGTGGAGTTCACTGAGTATAGTATCATCTAACTCAGACTGTTCATAAAATAGGGTTACAAGACTTTCAAATGCCTATCTGAATAGCTTCACCGTTCCCCAAGTCCATCAACTGTCGGACCCATAAACAGGGTAATGAGGATAAGCAGGCATGATTTACTGCTAGCAAAACCTTATTGATTACCAGGGTTGAACCCTTTCCAAGTTATTCAAAAACTATCTTTTTAACTACTAGTTTAAGTATTTTTCTGGAAATACTAATATCATAACCAATAACATTAAATTCATTACTCAATGGCTGAGATAATAAATTTAGCCCTCTGTCTTGCATATTGGAAACATCTGTTATGAAGTGGGTAAGATTCTGAAAGGCATTGCAGCAAAATTAGGAAAAATATAGATATTTTACATAGTAGAAATCTGGGTTCAAATCTCAGCTCCACCAATTACACACGAGGCAAGTTTGAGCAAGCTATTTATTTACCTTTAACCTTCTGAGACTGTTTTCTCATCTGTGAGTACTTTGAAAGACTTTTATGAAGATTAGGAATTCTTTGGAAAAGCTCCTATGATACTATTCGTCATTATAATATTAGTAAGGACAAAATATTGTTGACTGTGACTAAATTATTTCATCAGCAGACTCTTCCTTTTTTTTTTTAAAGATATATTTATTTATGAATATAAGAACTGGGGTACAAACCAGAGGTGGTCGGGTGAGAGGATTCACCACAGACAGAGTAGGGAGCAGATCTACTGAAATACACTGCTAAGGGGAGCAGTTGGTGAGACAGAAGTGGTCTGCTGTGCTATGTGGGTCACCTCCGAGGCCAGGGTGGAACTTGTGCTGCTGTGACTGCTGACGGCTTAATAGTGCTGCAACTTCAACCGCTTGCACCGTGAGGGAGTGACTCCTCATTAGTGGAGTCTAAGAACTGCAGTTCCTCACTGTTTGGATATTCATATGGAGCCACTAAATACACATCAAGAGCTTATTTTTCACTTGACCATGGCTTATGATGCTCTTTCTGCAGCCTTTCTCTTGAATTTCATAGCAGTTAGCATTCTAGAAACTTCTTTGACTTTTGTGACTCTCTCTTTCCATGTTCCTTGTACATTTCTTAGTTTTCTTCTTTCTGAAATGTGTTCCAACAGTGTGTTCTCTGTGATCAGAACTTTGGCTTATTCTTTAGCTTCTTTCCACAGACATATTTCATCTACTCCTTCTCTACTGGGGCTTTCCAAGCTCCTCTACCCTCTTCCATTGAGAACAAACCTTGAGACAACTTTTTTTAAAGATTTATTGGTTTATGCATACAAGAACTGCAGTGTAGGCCAGAGATGGGAAGTAGGGGAAATGAGAGGATTCACCAGAGACAGAGTAGGGAGCAGAACAGACAGATTCACTGAAACACACAGCTAAGGGAAGCAGCAGGTAAAACAGGAGAGATCTGCTGCGCCATGTGGGTCAGCTCTCTGGCTGGGGCTCGAATTTGTGCTGCAGTGGCTATAGAGATCTTCAAGTGCTGAGACTTACATAGCCCCTTGCACCACCAGATAGGCCCACCTTGAGACAATTTGTGCCACATCTCCAGTGATACATCTTTCAGGCATCTCTTCCTTAACAGTCCTAAATCTGAACTCATCATCCTACCCCCATCCAAAAGT